AAGCATGCGTATCGGTCGAGAGAAATACGCCGCGTAATCGTAAAGGTGCGTGAGCGGTTCTATGGGGGCGGCGGCTGGGGGTGGAAGGTGTGAGCGTGAAGGGTGAGGAGGTCGGTGATACCAAAGTGGCGAACACATACATACATACATATATATATATATATTTATGTATGTATGTATATGTATGTACATATGTATGTATGTATGTATATATATATATGTGTGTATGAAAAACTGCGATCGATAAAGTCTAGATAAAATCTAAACGATAATAGAACAAATAGGGAAATGAAAGATAAACAAAATGTCACTTCTCTTTATCGCACAATATGTGTGCTTGATCCTTTGTGCTCGACACATTTATCTTCACGACCGCTACTTTCCAGTCGTAAAATGTTGCATGTTAGATAACACTGCGAGTGCGCCACTTCGTATTGTCCAGACTATCTGATTACTTTCATTTATTAGCTCGCGACATACTAACGACCACGTGTTTACAGTGTTGTATAAAGTGTGTGTTGTTCGAGTACAAAGAATTAAATATATTCCCCCTAAGTATCGTAGTTAACGAAAACTATCGTACAGAATGTCCCGGAAAAAAATATGAATTTAAGGATTCGAGACAATTTCTTCGTCGATAAGAATTTTTAGAGATTCGTTTTCCAAATCTTCGAGCTTGGCAAAGTTCAATTTGAGCTGATTCGCATGAGAAATTTCATGCGTAAAAGTCAATCAAGAGTTCCGTGAGCAAGAGATTCTTCCTTTGGACAACCTGTAGGTATACGAGATGCGATGCAAAATGCAAGAAATCGCATTTGTTTCGTGTATGATCGCGTGTATGCGTGGATCAATGTACATGTGCACTGAGAGTGTCGACTGCTGAGGACTTCGATGATCGCCTCTAAGAAGAGTGACAGCACGATGCACTGAAGAGGGAGAAATGGACAGTGGCTTGCAAAGAGGGAAAAGGCGAAAACGCGCGCGCGCGCGCGCGCGCACACACACACACACACACACACACACAGACAGCCAAGGCAGCCAAGGCGGACAGGCAACGAGATTTCGTCGATCGAACGTCGGGCGAACCAGCGATTTTCCTTGCAGAACTTTTTCGAGTAGTCCTTTTTGTTTTTCACCCTGTATATCTGATCATGGCAATGTGTCAACGCCTTGTTGGCACAATTAATGTCGCAACGTGCAAAACCTTTTCTCTATTCTCAATTGCACACTAGGAAAAAAAATTTAATATTTCTAACAAAACTGTTTAGTTGAAGCATTTTTTTTGTAGCAACCAAATATCTTGTTTTATATAACAAAATATATTTAGTTGTCTTAACTATAAAAATATATATTTGTCTGCTTTGTTCTCTGGACCAAATGATTTTGTTCTTAGACTTCATATATAAAAATTAAGCATTTTAGTTATTTTATCCACAAAAATTACATGATAACGAAATATTATTTTACATAAACTAAAATCATGCCCAGTGGATACTATTTTGCCTTTCTGTGCACTAAAATTTAGATTTTATATATTAAGAAAATATTATAGTATTTTTAACAAAATTCACATAGTTAAAGCTTTTTGCTTGCTACAACAAAAGTATTACGTTGTACGAAAAAAGCCATAATCAAACGAGATACTTGTTTACAGGAACTAAACAGTTTCGTTGGGCATATTTTAACCGAATTATTTTGTTGTTACAACAAAGTTTTGCTTCACGCAACAATACATTTTTCCTAGTGCAATTTAACGAACTTTTCCTCCTTCCGTCGTAATTATCGAGAAATTTGTTTCCCGTTGCTTGCGCAACTAGAACCGATAACTAGCAGCCCCCCCGTCAATCTTGAACGGTCGCCGGTCGCTGTCGCCTCGATTCACGAGATCTCGCGGAGCGGGCAAGCTAATTGAACAGGCAAGTGTAAATCGCCGATCAGGCAAGCGGAGACCACACACGGGCACACACCGCACACGTATACAACACGTACGTAACATCCAGCAACGGACAATATCGACAGCAGCAACAGCTTTGGTTTACATATATACTGACGCAGCTTTTCTTCCCTTTCCTTTGCTTTTGTTATTCTTTCCCATTTTTTCGTTCTTTCCTTTGGCTTTGGCTTTTTTGTTTTAGCTTTTCGCTTTTCGAGTCGCACTCGTCGTTTCTCTTCCCGGCGTCTCGTCGCCCATCGCCGCACCGTCGTTCCGACAACGGTTTGGGGGCGGGGAGGGGGGGATCGGATCTGATCCCCCCTGTGTTAGCCAGAGCGGACCCTCCTCTGTCTCTCTCTCTCTCTCTCGCTCCCGGTTCGAAGATCGGATCTCGAAGAGCGTATCGGTGCGAGATCGATTTTTCCCTCTAACCCTTCGCGCCCCATCCGCGTCGAGGCGGATAATCGACGATACGGATTCGCGACACACTTCCGACAGATAGAGAATTATCTTTTCAGAACGATGACCGTAGTATGTAGAGGCTATTGATCGAATGCGCATTATAAA